TCCCTTTGCCCCCACAGCACAAACATACATAGATACATAGTTACATACATTCATAGTTCTCGGCTCACGGCATGTGACGCATTTGCCACTGCGCTTCATTATGCAGGTTCTCCGATCCCATCTCCCGGAATCCCTGGCTTGCCGAACACCTATCCTTCCTTCCTTCCGACCTGCTCGTCGCCACATGCCAGCCATTCTGGCAGTCGTCCTTCAGCGCCAGAGATGGGAATTTCATAGGCTATGTACTTGGATACAAAGTTGGACTTAAAGCTACCATTTTTGTTAAATATCTTAATTAAAAAAGTATAAATACATAAATAAAAATAAATAGATAATAAAATTGTATCAAAAATATCTGTATATTAAATAATACAAATTCAAATACAAATTAAATAATATAAAACTAGCAAAATGGTATATTAAGAAAAAACATATTCAAAAAATATTAACATACTTTTTTCAATCAAAAAATTTTTAGTTTTACATAACCAACACTTTTATAAACAACTTCTTAACCTTTTGTATATTAAAGGTTCTCTTTATAAAAAGATTATTACCTTTGTTATTGTTATTGTTATTGTTACCTTGTTGAACATAATAGCTTAAAATACTCTGTTTAAATATGTCATATCTTTAAAGGTTTGTTAGTACATCACTTCCGTTTAAATCTTTGTCTGAAATAAAAGCTTAATTGAAAATATATAGTACCTTTCCCATCACTGTTCCCCACCCAGCACCACCACCCAACCGTTCTGTTCTCCGGCATTGTTGCGGGTGGCAACATCTGCGGTGGCCGCTGCAATGCCGCATTATGTAATAATGCACGGCCGTCTGTTGTGTGTGTGTAGGTTTGTGCTGGATGTGTGTTGGGTGTGTGTTGTGCACTGCGGCCCCGTTGACCTCATCACATGGCTGTGTCAAAATTGTTCGACAAGCTCGTGTACTTGAACTGTCAACCTGCGTGGGTGGAAAGCCCCCGTGTGTTGTTTTCGTGTTTACGTGCTCTTGTTATTCTTGTTTTCGGCGGGACAGGATTAACTATCGAGCGGTTCTGCACACTTTTGCATATTTATAATTGCGAGTCACGTTTACGGGCAAAGTTTGTTTTGGTTTAAACGGTTCTCTGAACTTGATGCGATTTTTGAATGTTTAAAATATTTTTGGTGCCCGAAGCTGCAGGTGAAACGGAAAAACTTGAATTACGTTTAAAATTTAATCAGGGCGACAGTTTCACTTTATACCTACCTTCAACTTAAAGTAAAGAATTTACAATTAATTTTTCTTAGTTGTCTCACATTCTAGTTTGGTTTTCGTGATAGCTTTTAATTACGTTTTGCTTAGATATTTTTCTTAAAGCATTCCTCTTCAAGGTTATTACGTAGTCTTCTCTTTTAGAAACATTTTAGGTAACCAGAAAATGTATGCCGCTGATTGGTATTCGAAATTGAAATCCATTTTCAAAGTTTCTTCGCTATCCAAAACAAAATAAACAAAATTATAGTTCGATGTATTTGGCAGTAGAGCCAATTAACCCGAAATTAATGGATAAACAAAGTAATAGGCAACCTGCCCGTTGGAACTGAGCTACGAAATAAATTAATTGCAGTCGTCAGCGGCATCGCCGCAGGTGGGCGGTACAATCTTTAAGTTGGGTGGCGTTTGGGTGGTGCTGGGTGGTGGTGAGTGGAGTTGGGTGGTGCTGGGTGGTTGGCAGGGGGCGTAGGCCCATCAGGCGCCATGCTGCAGTTTCGGCCGACGAGCCGAAACAACAGATGAAAATAGAACTTTAATTAAAATCCATGAGAGCCAGCGGCAAGGCAGAAATAGCGCTGCGAGGGGCAAATAAAATAAGGCAACATTCTAATAAGAACTAGAAAAAAGGAAGCTTCTGTGAGCCGAAGATTATATACCCTTTCAGTCAACGCAAAAAAAGCTGAGATGAGCAGAGGTAAATGGACCTTCATTAAAATTAAAAATTAAAATGCAGATCGTTTAGGAAATTTTATAAAAATGTTTAGGGGTAAGCCACTTTGAGTTCGGATTAAAATGGACAAAGCTATGGGATCAGAAAGTGCAGACTTAACTTGAACTTGAAAAGCTTGTAAACTTCTTACTGAAAACATATTACCTTCTGGAAGGGTATTAAAATGGTTGCACACTTACACATAACGCCTGCAAGATAAAATACAGAATATATAAACACTGACATCAGTAATTAATAAAATGGCCTATATTTTGTGCAAATGATAAGATACATTTTGTATGTTAATATTAGTATTTGTATAGTAATATGTATTTTTAAGTTTGGAATCAAAATACAAAGATTGAAGTAAGTCTAACTCACAGGTTATGAATTAAAACAAATTTTGTTTTAAATGAGATTTAAACACATTAACACATTAACACAATATATTATATACGTACTCAAAACCAACTACTACAATTATTTAAACAAATATCTTCCTAATGAAAATTCATATTTTTACGATACCCTTTGTAATTTCTCTTTCTAATGAAATTGTATATTTCTACGATACCCTTCGCATTTTCTCAGTGTATCTGCAGACATGTGCACGAACAGGGCAAACAGCGGGTGCTCTCAGCTATTTAAAGCCCATTTGCAGTTGGCCTTATTTCTGGGGGATGGCTTAGAGCCGCAGTATCACGCGCATAAAGCTGGTTCCGTGGAAAGGGGGGAACCGCATTCAGATGCGATGATATGTCAGCCGGCGAATAAGCACGCTCCAGATGCCTCGAAGGCGGTTCGAGGCCCGTTGTCGCAGTCGGTTCGCTTCGGCGACTTGGCTGCATTAAAGCCGGCTTCCGAAGCTGGCTAAAACTAATCGCGAAGAGCTCTGCAACGGGTTGCTTGGCAAGCACAAAGCCGGCGACAGGTGAAAGGACGCCTCAAGTGGCTGCCACTCAAGACTTTTACCTACGAAAAGCTTTAAGATCGCTTCGTGCATTCATCGAATTCGGCGCTCTACGGTTTCAGGGCCCCCGTCCATACAATTTAATTAGTCTAGTAGGACTTCTCCGCCTTCCCATTCTAATAGAATGAGAAAATAATTAATGAATTCATCTGGCCTAAGTGCAGTCCCATTATACTTGTGGATAACTATGACGAGATGGGGACGATGACGACGACGTCGCCGAGTCTGTTGACTCTTGACGTTGATGAGTCGCAAGAACAACAAAAAGTACTCCGGCGGATGGAAAATATGGTGTGGAACATATGCCAACAGAACGTGAGTACGATGATTACATAGCTGATGAAATATGCATTATCTGCTGGTTTTTTGGGACAAAAGTTTTCGGTAAAAATAAAAGTTGAGAACTAACTGAAGCCCCAGCGCAACTCGGTATTTGCCCCACTGAATGGGGAAAAGTTTAAAGGAAAGTCAGTCAAGGCTGAAATCTGTTTTTTAATGACTCTGAAAATATTATAAAATATTCAAGGATTATTTTTAATTATATAAACTATTATGTTATTCTTAAACCTACCAAAATCCGCATGTTACCATATGTTGTAGGATCGAATTTGAAATTCACTGAATTTTTCTATAAGTTATGAAAACAGATTTGAAACAAACCGCGTTGTTAGGCAGAATTTATATATCGTTTTTTGCATCTATTTAATACCTCACCGCTTTGAGGTCTGAAAATTCTTTAGAAAAATATTGTTTTTCAAAGGCTATTCATAATCTTTAGTCATCGCGGCTTTCGCTTAAGTGATTCTATAATTTGCTCTTCCTATTTGCGTGTTTATATTTGCCCTAGCGTCATAAATCCAAAAGAAAACGTTTAGGCAGCGAAACGCCTACAGCGAGATTATCGCCCTGGCCAAAGATATATAGCGTTGCGGGGATATAGATACGGAAGGCCTAAAATTAAATTTATCTAGCCAAATCTCACTGGGTGTGCGGTTAGCTTTCGCTTCAAGGGAATCCGAGGAGAATTACCTCAGTGGACCGCAGCAAATTGCGGCAAACGTGTTCATCAAAGTGTGCAAGTCACCGCCACATGCGAAAATGGCCCCAGAATTCCTGCACATTTCCCCCCAATCAATTGCACATTGTGCACGTAGCCACGGCAAAAAGTATGTGCGTGTTTTGGTTGAATTTCGGGAGGAGAACCCGAGGAAAAGGTCGCCGGCAGGATTAGGGGCGTGTGAAATCGAAACCATTGAAACCGAAAACACTGAATGAAAACTTTTGTGGCCCAGCCTTGGGATCGAATTGAATTTTTGGTGGCATGCCACCAGGCCACAAACTTTTGCGACCCATGTGGCCATGTAACTGACCCAAATCAACTCAAATCGGGAAAGTCGGCGGAAGGGGCACAGAAAAAATCAGCAAATGTCTGCCAAAGATTTTTCATAGAATTTTCTAGTGAAAGGAAGTGGCAGAAAAACCTTTGAAAAGTTTGAGCGTTAAAGCCACTGGTCACACTTCATAATTGTATGCGAGTTCGTTCCACAAACTTGTGGCTGCGAGGCCAGTAAAAGTTTCAAGGTGCAAGTGCCAACGAGGCGTATACGTCATGAATGCCACAGACCACAGTGCCACAGTGCGGCCTGTCTGTGCGTGTAAATGTGGATTGGATGTGAAGCATCTGTTGGTGGAAAAAAAAGTGAATTGAATGGCGGGAAAAATCGATTTAAGTTGCACTTTGTTCATTAAGCCTTGTCCTGTTGATGAATTGCAACTGGAATGCGAATTGGTGAGAATTGCTGCAACCGCATTGCTTTGCTGGTATTCATGACTTTGATTAAAGAGCACTTCATTTGCAGTGCAATTATGAGAGCTGCAATTCTAGTTTGTTTAGAAAATATAACATTTTGACACAAAATTTATACAAATAATGGTTAAAATATAATCCAAATATGTATACTAGAAATTTTAAGCCTCGTCTAAACACACAAGAAAAGAGAACAGAGTTATACTCTTATTAGCACAAGATTATCTTCTAATCTATCCCGCTATTAAAGTCTTTGTATGTAAAGTGCATTTAGTTTATTTGCTTAAGGTTCCCTTTCCCTGCGATGATAACGATAATAGAGATATACAAAGCCCTTGCAGTCTTAACTTCAAAGCAACCTCCGGCCATTTAGAGTTAGACAAGATACTGTATCTGAGCATCTGGCCTGAGTTTGGGTTGTGCAAAGGCGAGAAGTGCTGTCGAAGTAGGTTTGTCCAGGGCAGGTGTATACATTTCCATAGAAAATCCCAGCAGATACATAACAGTTAACATATCTGTAAAATAATAATTAGATTATAGAACAACTAGTGAATGATTTAATATAAATACTTACTGCCTGCAGGTGGTTGCAGTAACTCCCCCATATGGAAATCTTCCAGTTTCCTTTAGTGATTGACAATACTCGGTGGCATTTGTGATGGTAGTAGATGCGCAGTCTCCCGAACCTGATCCCACACAGGATACTGGATACGCGGTGGGACTGCCACAGATATTTTCATTATTCAAATTGCACACATAATCCCCGCAATTTCCACCCATCACAGTATTCGGAGTTGTAGATCCCAGACACAAGGCAAAAGTATTTCTACCGGTGCAGGCGAATCGATTGTCAGCACTGCACTTATTACAATCCGAACAAGCTATCGCGGTTTCATCGGCGCTGCAAACTGTTGACCCGGAGGTGCAGTAGTATCCTGTGGGACAGGTGTAAAGATCTCCGATGGCCACCAGTGCGGAGGAACAGAACTGGAACTCCGTCTCCGAAACACAGGCCACTTGACTGGTGGAGGAGCAAGTGTTGCAGGCTGCCTGGCAGCCCAGGATGCAAAATCCCAGCAAGATCAGTAGGCGCAGCATCTCTAAAACAAACTGAGGAAACTAAAACCCTGCAACCGAATTTATCCACTCAATCTTATCTTATCCAAGTGCAGTTCTGCTCTAATCTTTTTGCTAATCTTTGCTAAAAACTATTTCGCAAATGTTTCCTGCACTTTTATTCACGTGATGAAAACGGGTTGTAAAAATCAAGTACTTATTTAATCTCAGGTGAGGTCTTTTAATAAGGTCTTCAACAATTCACGTGTTCATGATATGATAATAAAGGATTTTATTTATGTACGAGTATATAATTGTTTATAGAATGTTGTTGAACATTTGTTCCTATAAAAAATTGGTTATACTGAACCGGAACTATCCAGATTATTTGTCACAACAATTAAGTAATGATGAGGCTTAAAGTAGCGACTCCGTAAGTGCACCTTGCAGGCACTTCTGTGTCACAATATCTTGATGAGCTGTTGAAGTATGTTTGACCAGGACAATCATAAAGACCTCCTCTCCAGTAAGTTGCATTCAGGAAACAATAGATGTACCTATACAATAAATATATAACAGTTAGTATATATGTAAGACATAAAGCTGAAAAACACCCACTGCCTGCAGGTGGTGTTTAGATCGGTGCCATAGGGAAACCTTCCGTGTTGCTGAACGGTGGCACAATAGGTAGTGGGTGATACCCCAGTTGCATCTCCAGTTCCTGTGTCACCAGGACAAGTGGCCTGAGATCCCGCCGAAGGACTACCACAAATGTTGGGGTTATTGAAATCACACACATAATTCACACCACAGCTTCCGAGGATCTGAGAAGGAGTAGTTGTCCCCAAACACAATGCATAAATTCTGGCGGTGATGCAAGCGAAGGTGTTGTTACTGTTGCAGGTTCCACATCCAATACAGGATCGAAGGTTGACATTTGGGTCACAGGTCACGTCATTCGCCGTGCAATAGTATCCCGTGGGACACGAATAAACTGGACCAAAGGGCAATGCGCTACTGTCGCAGTACTGAAACGAGGTATTCGATATGCAGGCCACGTTGGTAGTGGATGCACAAACATTGCAATCCGCCTGGGTGCCCAGGATATATATCCCCAGGAGAACTCCGGTTCCCAGCAAGATCAGAAAACGCAGCATCTTTAGCAGAAACTAGCGATATTGGTGTCAAGTGGGTGGCTTTATGCTCTCGCAGTTATCTTATCACTCGGTGGAAACTAGAACTCCCTCAACAGAGTTACTATATAATTGCAAGGGGATTAAAGTGTGCGAATTGAGGTCAATTTGTCAACTTCGTTGCACTAGCACTTTATTCCTAATTCAAAAGAAGGTATAACAAAAAAAAAATTTGTCAACTTCGTTGCATTAGCAGTTTATTCCCAATTCAAAAGAAGGTATAAAAAAAAAATTTATTTGAATGAAATAGGTTTATTTTTGGTATTAGGTGCTTGAATTTTATTAGGAATATTTTTGACTTTGTGAAAGTTTTGCATGCTTTGTTGTAAATAATAAATACTCAACTATTTCGCATCGCTTGATTTCCTCTACTCGTTATCTCAAAATGACTTGTCCCTCAAACATTTATCATGTGTTTTTATTTGCTTAAATGCACACTTTAGGTGCAGGGTGATAAGCACAGATAAACTTTTTATTCTGATGATTTTAAGGTCTTCTTTTATATTATGGACAGCCGGCAGGTTTTGTGGCGACACAATTTGATGCACTTTCACTAAAATATGGCCTAGTTGCAGGACACTGCCAGGTATTTCCGGTCCAGGTTGAGTTTTTCTGGAAGCAGTATGTATACCTGAAGGATAAATATGTTTAATTATTTGTATTTAAGTAACTGCTAAAAAAAACTTACCTGAGGCAGCTGGAATCATTGGGATTGGGATACCGACCGGTGGAGGCTTTCACTGTGCAAAAGTCTGCGATTACAGTGGTGTCATCGTAATAAGAACAAGTGGCGCCTGTACCATTTACAGGTGCAGCACAATAGTAGTCTAAACTGTTGTTACACACCTGCCCCGCTGAACAGGAGTAATGGGTACTCGAAACATTGACATCATTAACACAAAGCGCAAAAGTAGTGGGACTCGTGCAGGTGAACTTTCGATCTGCAATACACTCATTACAACCTTTGCAGGCGATTAAATTCACATCGGAAGTGCATCCTCCAGGATATGAGGTGCAATTCGTGTTATTCGGACAGGTGTAGATCGGTCCCGTCGGAATGTGATCCGTGCAGTTTTGGTACTGATTTCTGGAGACACAGGCTGCATTGGTGACATCCGAACAGGCATTGCACTCGGCCTGGCCAAATCCCACTAGAAGAGCCAGCAAAATTCCCAAGCAGAGCAGCTGGCGGAGCATCTTCAAGCGCAACTGGAGCTATCGCCGAACTGCAACCAGATATAAGTATCACACTTAATCAGAAACCTAATTAAGATTAAAGTATTTGTAGAGAAAACTGAGTACATAGTGATATATTATTTTCATTGCCTTATTAGAGCGTAAATATATGCTTTTGAAGAATAATTGTTTTCTTCTTGATTTTTGAGCTAAATTATTTATATAATTTTCTTTTTAAAAACTGATAAATGTTATTTTTATTTGTTTATATTGTACTAACTCAACATTTCATACCCGGATTGCATAAAAAACATGCCCATCAAAATTAAAAGGAAATATATTTTTGAAGTCTGGACTTATATAAAATTTTTGTTTAATTTTTGTGTAAGAATTGTTTAAAATAAAGCTAAAGTAGTATTGGTTTTCAAACACTTTTCTTTGCTTACCTACATTCAAATGACGGAAAATTCACAGTCGCCGAAAAGTATGCTAACCCTTTCAACCCAATAAAACGTCGGCAGCTTATCTAAATTGGAGCAGTAGCCAAGGTCCCGCCACCCGAGGTCTTTGGGGATTAGGGCCAATCTGCATACTCCGAAATAGCTGCCAAAAACAGCGCTCTATTTAAGCCAACTGACTGCCGACCACAGACATCAGTGTGAAAACAATTGCAGAGACAGAGAGAGATGTCGCCCAACCGAATTTACTTGCCACTTAGCCAGCTTCTCCAGCTGCCGCAGCTTCTCCTGCTGCTCGGCTGCCTGGTGGCCTCGACCCGTGGCACCTGCAACGTCTGCAACACCGTCAACAACCTGACCTGCTACTCCTCGACCCAGATGCAGGCCTGCCAGCCCGACGTCCTGTCCACGGCCACGCCCACCGACTGCCCCAGCGGCTACGTCTGCGTCAGCGGATCGAGCGGAGTCCTCTGCGAGCCGCAGGACTCTGCATCCGGCAGCCAGGCGGACTGCCAGGAGTGCAACACGTGCGACTCGACGCAGACCTTCGCCTGCACCGGCACCCAGAGCTTCGCCCTCTGCCTGGGCACCCCCACTGTCCAGGACTCGGTGGGCACCTGTGCCTCCGGCTATGTGTGCAACATCAACGACACCCAGATATGCGGTCTGCCGGCGGACGGGGTAAGTTTGTCTTTGTGGCACTCTAAAGGGGGAGGGAGGAGGCGGAAATATGCGATATTTGATAGTGTGCAGGTGAGGGAGGAAGTGGGGAGTCGGGTCTGCAAAGGAAATTAAGCTATCAAGAAATTCTATTCATTTAGCTTCTTATAACCTTTGTCGGAAGTTAGGAAAACTTTATGTGTAGGTACGTTGTGTAAACTATTTCGTTAGAGCTTGAATAATTGATTAAAATGAATATACAAGGGACTTATTCGAGTACAGATACTATTTGCATTTATATTTCAATCGTTTGCTTATTGTATTGAAAATTATAAAGTACCAATGGCTATCCAAATAGTACATTTAGGTAATAGGTCTGGATATTCACCTTACCTTTCAACACGCTAATTTGATTTTAAATAATTTTATTGTCAAAAATACAACATCATCAAAGGGCTTAAATTCGTATTTAAATAATTATTACAAAAAGTGTAAGAAATTTGTTCTTGTTCAGGTGAGCCTATACGTAAATAAATGAATAAACCTGAATTAAACGATTTATTGACCAACAAAAGTATACTCCTCCGATACCAATCAAATACCTGACCGCCTCATCCCACCAGGTAATGGCGACCTGTTCGTATGCGGATGACACCACCACCTCGACGACCACCACCAGCACCACCGCAGCCACCCCCTCCACCGGTTCGGCGTCCACTTACTGCGCGGCTGTCCAGTCGCAGGGAAAATATGCGGTGGGCTATAACGCGGATACGACCTGTCGCCAGTACATCTACTGCACGCTGGTCGGCGGCAGTTGGGTCGGGCAGACGTACACCTGCCCGGGAGCTATGTACTTTAACAGTAGCTCCAAGATGTGTGTGACCAGCATGCCGTCCACTTGCTCCACCTCGGCACCCACACCTGCCACAACCACAGTGGCTCCCACGACCAGCAATCCGGCGGCATACTGCCAAGCGATGCAGTCGGAGGGTTACTATCCCGTGGGCACGGATGCCAGCACCACGTGTCGCCAGTACATCTACTGTTTTCTCAACGGTGGCTCCTGGAGTGGAAACATGTACACCTGCGCCGGGAATCTCTACTACAACAGTGCCAGCAAAATCTGCGTTTCCTCGTTGCCTTCAACCTGCTCCACCACGGTGGCAAGTTTGACCCTAAACGGAGTGGTTCTGGATTGAAAGAGCATTCGCTAGACGAAGAGTATTTGAAGGTTTATTGGTTGGCGGAGTTTCACCCTAAAGACAATTGCCCGGATTGACGTAGACGCAACTTTGGGTCTGGGACACGAAGTAGGTGCCCGTCGGGCAGTTGTATTCCGCGGATCTGATAAGCACGTTGTTATTAAAGTAGCAACTAATGTAGCTGTAAAGATAGTTAATTAAATAAAATGAATGAAGTGGAAAATACCACGCAGTATTTGCATACGCACCGTTGGCAATAGGGATCTGCGGGAATGATGGCAAAAAGTCCAGTGGCATTTCTTTCGACGCACATTTGAGCGGGTGTTAGAGGTGTCACTGTGGTGGTCAGATCGGTGGTGCTGACTACAGTGGACTCAGTGGTGCTTTCAGTGCTGGTTTCAGTACTACTTTCCACCGTGGAATCAGCACTACTGCTACTTTCAGTTGTCACCGAAGAAGGAGTTGTGGTATCCACCAGTTCATCATTTATATCGCAAGTCAGCGTTTGATTCTCCACCTCAGGAACGCAAATCGAAGTACTGGTTGCATCACAAACCGTTCCCGAGGGGCAGTAGCCAAACTTTCCAGTGGGTCTAGTGGCTCCGTAGCACATCTGAAAGATTCCGCGACTCTGACAGGCAAACAGATAATTCCGATTGGCATTGCATTGGCCGCATTGCGAAGTATCTCCACAACTTGGAGGGCGTTGGCTGCTTTTTTGAACACAAATTGCGGTGAGGTTGGTGCAATCGAATCCCTCTAGGCAGTGGTACAATTGATCACGATGCGGGGTTCCATCTGAAGGATCATTTAATATAATATTAATAAAAAATCCTTTGGTTGCATAATAGAATAAACTTACCTCCGAAACACAAATAAAATGAGGTGGAGTTAATGCAGGCCACTTGATTCGATTGACAGACATTGCAATCGGAAACAGTTTGAACTACCATAAAAGCCAGAACCACCTAAAAAATATTTCTAGTTTATTTTTCATACTGCAATTAAGAGAAAAATCGGTTTTACCACAAGAAGTCCTTTGATTACACCCTCAATCCTTTGGGACATTTTTGGTTTTCCGAAATACTTCTGCTCACTGTCAAGGTTCTGCGGCAACTAAAAGTTGGATTATGATATCTCTTCGTCTGACTTGTCTGGTCTCCAATGTTTATCTACTCTTTACTTTTCTCTGCTAATTGTTTTATTTGGCTTGGCTTTCCACATGATCGCTGTTTTATGAAATCTCATCTTATGATGGGAATGTTTCTCGAGGTTCTGAATGGATTGTGGGTGCGGACATTGAGCAAAAGTCGAAAAACTCTTTAATTACTAGGATCTAATCAGGCAGAACGGCTTTCTGGGGAAAGTTTTTCGAAGTTCGTTAACATTTTATGCATTCTTGTTATCGCGATTTACAATAAAGACAGTTACAAACCAAAAGTAACTGCCTCCCCACGCAAATATTTAAACTTAGGTTATTGACCAGAAGTGTTATTTCACTGTGCAGTTTAGTAGTATATAAAATTATCTCTTTGGGATATGCATTTGCAAGATAGTGCAAATGCATAATTATGGTCATATATTTAAGAGTAAAACCTCATATACAAGTTGCAGTTATTTGCACAGTGCGCTTATTTAAGAAGGCGCATGATAGTTATTGCAGTTAGTCTCTTCAAAATAACCTGCAAAATGGAGCAGTTTCGTGTCTTTAAAAGCTTGGTAACTTTCCACTTAAATCCTTAAAAATTATAAATTAAAATCTAAAGAATAATGTATATTTTTTTCAGTATTTCATTGTACTTTTGCTTTTCATGCTGTTCTACGTCCTGGTGGACTCAGCATGCAATGAGTGCCAGGATGATAATAATGTAAAGTGTGTGAATGAGACCCACTTCACGTTATGTACAGATGGTGTGGCACCGGATCAAGTGATATCATGTCCAGATGGTCAGGTTTGCACCGGATACAGTAAAATCTGCTGGCCGAAAGGATCAGTTGCAGCCTCTTGCGATTCTGAACTTGAACCAGATGTACAGTGCCCATCCTGTGATGGAACATCCCCATTTGTCTGCACCAGCCGCACCACCTTTCAATTTTGCAATGGCCTTCAACTTACCGACCAAACCGTCAAGTGCAAGGACAGCACTTATTGTGATATAGCCTCCGGTAAATTGTGCGTCGATAAATGTGAATTTGCTAAGCTAGGAAATACTTTCGAGTGCGATAGAGAAGCACCATAAGAAGGATAATAAGGAAATATATACCTTAGCAGCGTAACAAACTTTTGAAAGAAACTAATTATAATTCTGTGAAGCAAATAATGCCTTTGTTAAGGTACTTTTCTTTAAAATATATATTGAATAAATAATTTGATTAGTAAATCCTTTGGTATTATTTTCCATTTATTAAGTTTAAATTTGTATTTTGTGTATTATTTATATATGATAAATAATTAGACTAAGTCAGTGCATCCCGCATTGGCTGGTTTTACAGTGGCGCAGTTGTTTATATCAGCATCGAAATAAGGCTTTGCTGAAGGACAGGCATATAATAATCCTGTCCAGCTGCTACTCCTGTACAAGCAGTAAACGTAGCTAGAAGAAATAATTTATTAATCATTTCTGAATAAATTAAGAGGGTTTTGTCGCTTACTTTGTGCAAACGGTGTCATTCGGAATGGGATAGCGACCCGTTGAGTTGATTCCCTGGCAATAGGTTACTTCATTGAAGACCGGAGTGGTTCCGGGACTTTCGGTGGTGGTGCTGATGGTCTCAGTGGCAGTCACAGTGGAGCCGTCACTAGAAGTTCCTGTCGAGGACTCAGTGGTTACTGCGGATGAATCTGTAGAAGAGCTGTCGGTACCACTGGACGTAACAGAAGAGGTGGTGCTGTCGGTGGTGCTGTCGGTGGTGCTGTCGGTGGTGCTTGCAGTGGTGCTCTCATCATCGGCCTCCAAGCTCCGATCACAAATATCATCGTCGGTGGAGTCGCAGCGGGAAATGCAGGGATTTCCTAGAGGAGCATTTGCCACACTGCAAACAAAATCTGTCTCACATTTGTTATTACTACCCGCAACCTCTCCACCAGAGCAAAGTGCAAAAGTGGTCGGCGAAGTGCAGGCAAAGGTTGAAGCTCCGGAGCAAAGTCCGCAGTTCGAAGTATCCCCACATCCGCGTTTTGTATCCGTTCCATTCGCCAGGCAAATTATTCCGTAGTCCGTGCAAATGGGTCTCTCATCGGGACAGGTGTAGTTGGCAGTCTGATCCCGAACACCTGCGAGATATACTCCATTATCTCGGAGATCCACTTGGTCACTTTGGCAACTCACCATCGAAGCACAGCTGAAATGTCCTTTCACCAATGCAGGCGTGTGCTTCCACACACTTGCCACACGTGGCATTCACCATTTCGGGAGCCAAAAGAGCCACCAGAAGGCCAAACAGCATGAACGCTTTCATTGTGAGTTTACGATTGAGTTGGAGAGGAGCATCTGCCCAGCTTTATAAACCCCGGACTAGGGGTCATATCTTTACGGCCATGTCAGGGTAATAACATTTATCTCCCAATGCCAAGCGATGCCATAAAGCTCTGCTCTTCCTAGTAAAGTAATCTTCGAGTAGCACGGGAGCGCTGCTCGGCAAACAGCGCCATATATTTTTAGATCTTTAGCATACCTAATCCTTGGTATAAAAAGACGAAGCTATCTCCCAGTCTGTTCTTATAAAAGCCGGCTACTTGTGGCTTTTGGCAGTTAGTCCGTCAGTCACAACCAAAAAAAAGTCACAATGCAAAACTCCCAGATCCTGAGAAATCTGGTAAGATAATGCAGAAAATTATTAAAGTAAAATCTCTAAGAATAGTTATGTTTTCAGTGCCTCTTCGCTGTTATAAGTTCCATGGCAGTTGTGGTCTTAGGAACGTGCAATTCCTGTCAAACGAACAACGTGAAATGCCTGAACGAAACCCACTACTCGTTCTGCTCGGAAAACGTGGCTCCCGACCAGGTGGCCAGTTGCCCCAGTGGACAGGTCTGCACCAGCCTGGCCATCATCTGCGTGGACGAAGGTCTCTACGATGCCGCCTGCTCGCCTTCAACCATCGATGGATCCTGCTCCTCCTGCGATGGCACCAGCTTGTTCGTCTGCACCAGTCGCACCACCTTCCAGATGTGCGACGGCACCAACCTGACCAGCCAGGTCAACAGCTGCAAGGACAACAAGATCTGCTCGATCCAGTCCGGCAAATACTGCATCGACTCCTGCGAGGCGGGCGACAACATCGAATGCGACCGAGATGCTCCTTTATAAAATCATATACATTAATTTAAAAAAAAAAAAACAGAAATACATTTGTACTTAATGATACGAAAAACTATTAAATAATCAAATTCCCAAATAACTTTTAAATACAAGGTTTTTATTTGCTTTGCGGAAGTCAGCAAGAAATCATTTTTGTAAAAAAAGGGAAAAGTTTTCACAATTGTATACTTGATAAGTTTTTTATCTTATCAGAAAAATCTTCATCGTTGCTAAGAAGATTTGACTCACGCTAACCAACAAAATATTTATTCATTTGTTTACAAAATTTTAAATATTAGTTCAATTTCATAAACATAGATAAAATTATTACCTCAATTTTTTTGGCTATTTTAAAAATGATTTCCTTTAAAACTTGGTTAATAAAATATTTTCCTTTACATTATTTACCCTTCAAATATTTAATGTTCGTTTCTTGTATCGCATGTTCAATGTCCTTCATAACTATTTTATTGCTTAATCCCATTATAATATGTGCAAATACATAAGCTAAACTACCAAAATATTTCCCGGGAATTCTCGAAATAAATCACTTTTAGCCAGACATCAACCAAAGCTTATCTTTGTTTTCAGGGACAAAAGCAGCGCAAATTCTATTGCGAAGGTCAGTTCTTTCCCCCCAAACGTAAAAACGGTTCTGAGGTAACAAAAAAAGCTTCATACAGTTTTAATATGCCCTAATTGATTTCGGCAATTTAATTGACATTGACCCAATTGCGTTGGGGCTGCGTAATCGAATTAAACATATGAAGCAATGACGTCAAAGAGGTGTAAAATTGTTATGTACTGCAGCTTTTGTTTATAGTTGCTCCGATGCCGTAAACAAATTATTTACCACTTTAATGCTCCGGCTTTCGGCCTGCGGCGGAGTTGCTCCACATTTAATGGGCGCCCGGAGGTGTGGAAAACAAATTCGCAACAGGAAACAAAAATAATGAAAAGCGAGATGGGACCACCTACCTCCCATCCGAAACACCCAAAATGCCCCCCGGCGTTTTACTGATGGTGGCGCATCTAATTGTTGTGACGGTTGCGTTTTGTTATTGTAATTAATATTCAGCTAAACTCAGCTGGGCTTACTAAAACTAAAAAGCGAAAAGCGTTGAACAAATTGCGGTCATTAAACTTTTTGCCACGCCAAGTGAAATAAATTGTCGCCCCGACAGCCGCTGCCTTTCATAACAAAGTCACAAATCAACGCGAGCGGATCTCCCAACTACCGAACTGTTTCCCAGTGGATTACCAACCATAACCATGTTGCAGCTGCAACTTTTCGTGGTCTCCTGCCTTTTGGTCCTGGCCACCTGCAAAGTGCAGAAGCAAACGCCTTCGAACAGTTGGCGGGACATGCTTTTCGGCAGCAAGTGGCTAACTCCCGCTCCGCGTTGGCGAGAGTCCAAATGTGGGTCTAAGTCGAGAGTGTTCGAAATATTAAACTGAATTCCGTGTAATACCCACTAGTTTTGCCCATCTTCGCCTTGGTTCCCATTGGTCCTGGCAGCTGTTCGGCGCCTTCGGGCGAACAGGGAAACTGCATTCCCAGCAAGGATTGCGTTCTGAGGAATGGCATTCCGGCGGGTCCTTGTGGCGGAGGATACGGCGTCTGCTGCATCTGTGAGTTGTCACCTGGAGCACTTGGAGTTGCAGTTGCAGTGGGGAAAATCACATTTCCTAATCCTCTCGTTCAGTTCTCCAGACCTGCGGCGGTGTCATTCGCGAGAACTCCACCTACTTTGTGAATCCCAATCATCCGGATGTCTACGACGGCACCGGAAGTTGCCAGGTGACGGTGCAGAAACTCCATCCGGATATTTGCCAGCTGCGGCTGGACCTGGACATGTTTTCGATAGCCCCTCCAGAGGCGGCCAATCATCTGTGTAACCAGGATCAGTTGCTCATTTCCGGCGGCAGTCCCACGCCCACAATTTGTGGCAGCTCAACGGGAGATCACAGTGAGTTTCCACACATGTATATATTATTATGCAATATTACGATAAGATATACATAAAAAGAAAAGAAATAGAAGCTCAAAGCTTATTTAAAATCGGATAATATGAGTATACTATATGATTTGTTTGTTTTTGAAATTGACCAATTTAATTTAAAAAAATTGATATTATATTATATAATAATATTGGATAATATAATTTTCTATGTTTTTTGTTTTGGTTGATCATTTAATTAGTCTAGTTCTGTTTATAGATGATTCAACTTGGCAGATTTGTTTGTGAAAGTGTATTTACCATAAAATAAAAACTAGTGTACAAATACTTAAACTAATGCCCACACTTTATGATAAGCAGTGCAAACAAAACCGTCTTGTCTGAGTTCCCAATGCCAAACTTGTGTTTTCGCAGTGTACATTGACGCGGGTCTTGGCCAAAGCAACCCGATTGTTTTATCGGTCATAACGAGCGGAAGTTTTCCGCGCTTGTGGCGCATCCGAGTGACTCAGATCCACTGCGGCAGCATCAGTCGAGCGGATCAGGGATGTCTGCAGTACTACACGGCGATCAGTGGACGAGTTCGCAGCTTCAACTACAACTCGATTGCTGGCAGGCAGTTGTCCAACCAGGACTACAGCATCTGCATTCGGAACGAGCGAAACTTCTGCGGAATTCAGTATAATGCCTGTCCCGATCTGGAGAACAATAGATCGAGGGCGTTCACCCTGTCGGGGAATTCGAACAATCCGGTGCCCACGATGGTGGGTGGTGGGGGTTCCGTGCCACCCAATCTCAATGGATGCGTCAGCGACTGGCTGCTTATTGGTTGCATTCGATCCGCGGACAGGATTCCTCCTCTTCCAGGATGCGAGGATCGCGTTTGTGGAGGCACTTTCAGCGCGGAGGCTGGAATGCTGGCTAAAACTGTGCAAAGTAAGTTTTATCCGTTTGAAATACCTCTTATTCAAACTTAATTACTTACAAAAACATTTAAGTCGAAAATACTTTTTAAAGTTTTGGTTAATGGTACCTCAAATTCTACTTTATTTTATAAGAAACCAGTTTCAATCACTAATCTCTAAGAATGATATCCCACCTGAAATATTTTTTTCTTATGTGGTGCAGCCATTTTCAACCATATAAAAACTTTCATTAATTTTTTCCATATTATTATTTAACTTTTTTAAAGTTTGTTGACTTCATATTTAATTATTTTAAATATTTTCTCTATCCTGACAGCTAGCGTTCGTCCATTCCGACTGTACTTTCACACAGATGGCGTAGAAGCTCCAAATGACATAGACAATAGAGGTTTTTGTCTTGATTATGTACAGCAGCCATGCACAAATGGTTTTTAGCAGTATTTAAAATGATTCCATAAAAGCAGCGAAAGTTGCAAAAAGTTTTTGAAGTGCTACAATTTGAAGCCGTAGACCCAAAAGTATGCAATACTCTTCATCATGTTCAAAGCGACTTTAATCGTTGGAATTCGGCGCGACTAAAGACGCATTCAAAACGCAGACATTTTTTTCGTATATAATAAATATGTTTTATTTATTGATTTTCGTAACTAAGTTAGACATAACTTTAAGATTTAAGTTAATTTAGAAAGCACATTTCGTGTCGAATTTTGGTACAAATTTAATGACGTGGTTCGGGACATTGAAATTTCTTGTGATCGAAATTCTAACATTAAAATCGTTTCCAACTACTAATACAGGTTTATTGAATTACGTTTAATTAATAATACTTAGCTGAAGCAAAAACAAAAATTAAATAACAGAAAAACACGATGATGAACGCTTTTGTTTAAGGACATTTTCGTTGATGTTGTTGTTGGTACTCATTTGCTGCAGTGGCAAAATAAAAAAATAAAATATAAAAAAAAAAACAAAACAAGTACTGATGATGCGCACGTTGTCGTATAAAAGGGGTTTTCTGGGTTCGCTTGCTCGCCTGAGATCGCCAATTTCAGTCTGTGCGCGTAGTGCCCGACTTGTGACGTCACTGGGGGATGGGATTATCTCGGTTGTGATGCGGGTATCTACGATAGTTGTATGCTAATCCTAATAGGTTTGTATTAAGGCAGCCACGTGCTGTTTCTCCTCCTCGGTCAGACCGTTCTTTAAAGTCCGACGTACTGTAAAACATTAATTAAATATATTAAAATATATATATTTTTTAAATAAGATTATAACAAGTTTTTAGGCATATTAGGTCATTCTATGTTAGGTGTTTAGGTCATGCTGATTAGTTGCCTGTATTTTCAGAAAATCCGTTAAGCCACATGCAAATGCCATTTATATTTACAACTTTGGCCATAATAAAGTTTATAGACCCATGCATAACACCCGGATCTTCAACAAAATACAAAGTAGATGAAAAAACAAAGCTGAATACAACTTTCAGCCAAAGGGCTTGAACAAACAAATCGTAAAAGAAGGCGTATAACTCAACACAAATCAATTCACTAACCAAAAAAGGTAAGACCTAAAAAACAGTTGGCTGTTCTTTTTGGTAACGGTTACGGATTTGGTTAACAGTAACGGTTTCTACGGCGACGGTGCTCTTTCAACTGTGAATCCTTCGCGCGTGCGGCTGCGCTTCACTTCGATAGTCAATATTTCAGATTGTTGGGTTTGGTTTTTGATTTTTTTTTATTGGTTTGTTGGATTGGTGCGTTAATGGTAAAAGAACGAAATGGAAAAAATTAAAACCCAATATAGGCAACAGATTCGTAAGCTGGCAAAACTAAGTGGATAAAAAAAGCTGCGAAATTGGATATATTTATATTGTAATTAAGGGAGAAAAACTGCAGGGGCTCGTGTAAATTTGGAATTTTGTGTGGGAAATAAATATTTGTAAAATTATATGGTGTCTCTTTAGAATTGTTGGTGGTGTAGTGTGTTTCTGGTTGGAAGTTCCAGCTAAAGGTTATAGACATAGCGCGCTGTGTGTGATTCAAAAAGATATAGACCAACACCTTCTCATTAAAACGAATTCTCACTGTCAGAGTTTTTGACGTTGGTCGGGAATGTTTTGGTTTGATTTGTGAAAACGGTCAACTTACATGATTTGCGATCCGCATGACGCGTCCGTTTCCGTTCCCTGGGCGTTGTCCTAGTTCCTGGCGCCTTGGTGGCTGTTTTGACCAGCGATTCCAATATCTCATCATCGCCATCGGTGAACTGCTCCTCGCTCTGCCGGGAAATTGGCGAACGGAGCTGTTCTGCTCGCCGTCTTCGCCAGGTTAGAGTGCCATCAGCCTGGTCAGCACTGGATGTGTCCAAAAGTTTTCTGAAATAAATTAAAATATTAGCTTAGAGATCAGGAAAATAATGTAAACCCAAATTTCTCGAGCTAAAAGATAATATATAGTGTGTTATCTGCCTGGCAAAGTGGTATTTAAAACATATTTAAAGCATAAGCAATATACTTATAAGGTGAAAGAACTTTTGACCTTTTCAGACCCAATAAAAAATTCTTATCTCACAATAATAAATCATTTTTAAAATGTTTACCACATAATACTCCAAATCAGGTCACTTTTAAAAAGATAAGCATACCCTGAGGTGTAATTTATCGCTTCACGTGTCTTCAACTCATCAACATTATGTACTTAATGTCATGTTTATATTAGTAAGCAGCTTAAAGTGTCTTTTTGAGTGTTACGATAAGAACTTATTACTTAATCGACCCAAAACTCACTTCAACTCGTCATCGGCCACATCGTCTTTGGTCTTGAACTTGGCCATGTCGATGATCAGCTTGCCGCGCGTCTTATTCCGCTCGCGATGGTTGGCCTTCTTCTCCAGCTGCTGTTGCACCCTTTCGCGGGTGGTTCGGTACTCCAAAGCGAATTCGGAGAGAGTCCTGCAGAACTCATTGGGTCTCGACTCGGCCACACTGTGCTGCGGCATTCCCAGCCACAACAGGAACTTTCTGTAGCGATTCATCACCCGCCGATGGACAATTTGCAGGATTATTATCCTCTCAGCACAATCGGCGAGGAAATCCACCAACTTTTGCTTCAGCGGCGGCGGGCAGTCGTGTTTGGCAATTAGTTTCAGGCGATCCCAACACGCCTTGCACTCCGACTCCAATTGGTTGAGATTGTGAGCCAACTCAGTGAAATCCGCCTTGGAGGCTCGTGTTATTGGTCCAATTTCGGAGTAGAGATCGCTGGTGTCGCTGCTGGATTCCATGACCATGTGGCACAGGTGGTGAAGCAGCGAGTGCTTGTGCACTGTGTCCTTCACTTCGGGAACCTTGGCCAGATACTCGATCTGGAATCCCTTGACAGGAGCTCCGTTCAGGAAGATTCCCACTGACAGCAACGTGGAGAGGATGCTGCGGAAGGTGCGGTTCTGACGCAGGATCTCAATGCCTTGCTTGAGGTCCATCAGGGGTTCCGCTATCTCTTTCTGTTGATTAAAAGATAAATAAAATAGTATATAGTATAGTATAATACTAGTGTTAAAGAAATAATTAAATTATCTTAACTACAACTGTATCTTTTCTTGGGTTTAAATTTAAAACCAAATTACAACCAAAATCTAACAATCTAAACAAACTATTCGTTGAATATTTTTTGGATAAAAAATTAAGATTAATTCTTAAACTTATTTTAGGGAGAATTTCACTCATGAAATAAAACATTTGAAAAGTGTTTAAGAAAAGAAATTAATTTTAAAAAGGATATGCATTAATTTAGATCAGTTTAGGTATCGATATATAATATACTTTTGGATTCTAAAAAGTTGTCACGATACCAACCATACTTTTGGTATCATTATGTGGGTATCGCAAAATAAATACAAAATATAGTAGATCAAAATATTCCTAAGGTTTCTGTATATATTTTTGTTCAGTAAACAACCTACCTCGCTGTTATCGAAGTCCAGCCGGAATGCCCACAACTTGAGGCGGGCCTCCAGCTCGGAAATGGAGGCGAGGGTCAGCAGGAACTGCTCGGCACTGCCCAAGGGCAGCTCCGGATTGGAGAGCTGGGCCTCCTGGATCTTGCCGCGCTCCTCGTCGGTGGGCAGCATGTTCAGCAGCTTGTCGATGCCCTCCCGCGTGACCACAGTGGCGTCCATCTTCAGGATGGCGGTCTTGATTGCCCGCGGAGGAGGCAGCTTGGTGATCGCAATGTTGATGGCGTTGGACCGCTTGTGGTCGAGCACGATGATCTCTTTGCTCTTGTTCAGCTCTTGTTGTTTCTGCAAGGTCAGCGGAGAAGGGTTAATGCCTTTCGATCACAGCTCGATCGGTCAGAGATAAAACACAGTGGTGCAAAGAGAAAACGAGAGAGTGTGGAGTGCAAAGTGCGGATTTGGAGAGGAGTTTCTGTGCTGTTCTGTTCTGTTAGCTACTTGATCGTTTCTTCGAGTGTACGTGGGTGTGAGAGAGTGTATAAGAAGTAGTGATATTAGCCAACACCAAAACACAAAACAATATGGTCAACAGATCGTGAGTTATGGTGCGATATACGAGTATATATAATATGTAGAGAGATAGAGAGACAAAATAGACAAACAAATTGAATAACGTTTTGATTGGCACTCACCTCCTAGAAACATTTTGGGAAACATTTGAATATTTGAGAATTATTTGCATTTTGGTTTTGAGTTTAGCACAACATTTATGTAGATTTATCCGCAAACAGACCGTTCGACATTAACGTATTAAGAATTATACAAGATATCCATAAATAGAGGGGAAAGAGAAATACAAAAATCATTCGCATTTTGTTAACGCAACATACACTTAAAAGGAGAGACTATGACTAATTTAATCACACTTATCGTAGCTTTCGTTCAATTTCGAGAACCTTTGACCAATTGGGGGTTATAAATTATTATTATTATTACTGGCTATCTAATACGAACCTTGGTCATCAAGTCTTTGGCTCGGGACTCAAAGAGATGTTCGAGCTTCTGGGTGTCCACATTCGCATCGGGCAACTCGTCCCAAATGGTCTTGCCCACCACCTGTGGGATCATGTCCTCGCGCACTTCCTTCCAGAAGAGCTTGACCTTTGGGTTGGACATTTTATTTACATTTTAATAAAATATTAATTAAAATAAAGGTTTTTCTTTATGATGACAGTCCTAAACATTTTTCCCTTTACTCACCGTCTTTTTGTTCTTTTTAATGGTGTTGTTTCCATTGACCAGTTCCCCATTTATCGAGCCATTTAGCGAGTTCACACTGTTGGTGAGGCTTCCCCCGTATCCAAACATGGGCGGAGGTGCCAGGCTGGGTGGCATCATGGGCGGAGGGGCAATGGCTCCTCCCAGAGGCGGAGGTGGAGGGGGTATGCCAGCACCCAGACTTCGAGGGGCCAGAACGTCCTTCTCGTCATCATCCCGCAGATCCGTAAAGTCCAGATCGCAGAGATTCAAGGGGCGTGTCATATTCCTCACCAACTCCTCCCAGTGAAGTTCGTTTTCCGACTTCTTGGGCTCAGACTTCTTTATATCCTGATCCACACTGGATGATCTGAAGAATAAAAGTGTTTTTGTCATCATGATTATAGCTTTTATCTGGCTTTCTTCGAAAAAAGTCTGCTATCACGGAAAAGAACCCCCATAAATGTTTAATCTGACCTTATTGAATCTGACAGACGACAAAGTAACAATAGCAATATATAGGTATACATTAATGTACGATAAGAAATCATTAATCAGGTGACGTGGGGCGGGGCAAACTACTTTCTAGAGATTCGAGAAAGCCGATGACGACTATATTTTCGGGGTCTGTTCGAGAGCCTGGACTCTTACGAAACTCCTACATAAATCTAATCTCCAAATTTTGCACAATGGACTCTCACATTATCGGCTGCAGCGGTATCTTATCGATTATGATAAGCTTTGTTCACTATATTGTAATTCATCGATTTCCAGAAGGTATAAAGGTGGTGCACTTCGAGGCGCAAGTCACATTTGTCAAGCAAAAACCAAGCAACATGGCTGATGTGAGTTGATGATTGCCGTAATCAGGATAAATCAATTTCTAACCTCTCAATATGATCCGTAGTTCAACGCTATTCTGGAGAAGACCAAGGCCTTCAGCAAGAAGCCCCCGACGGAGGTGTACCTGGAGTTCTACGGACTGTACAAGCAGTTCCAGGAGGGCGACATCAACATCGAGAAGCCCGCCGATGCCGAGGGAGCTGCCAAGTACGATGCCTGGCTGAGCCGCAAGGGACTCTCCGTCGACGATGCCAAGGCCGCCTACGTCGCTTTGTACGAGAAGTACAACCCCATCTACGGATAAGCTAAAACTATAGTTTATGACCCTGTCCGACTCTCCAATAAATCTTGACCACCTGTGAACCAAACGATTGTCTATTTGAGGTGTAGTTTCTGGTAGCTACAATTTAGTCTTATTGGTTCTGGGATTAACTTCAATCAGCTCTGTCATATTCTTGATATCAAACGACCAGCTAGCATGATACTGTTAATCGTCGTTGGTTTAGCCCATATTCTTATCACCGATTGGTGGCGCCATATATTCTCTTAAGTCTTAGCCATATATCATTTAAAAACTAAAGGGTGCCTTATCGTTCACCTTATAAACTAAGTAAAGTATCTTGAAAGTGATGAAGGGCCAGTGGCAATCTATGGATTTAAGAAAAGGAAAAGGTACTTGAACTATTTTCAAGTTGGCTTTATACTTTCCTGATAAGTATAGAAATTAACAGAGTGACTAGTGGAAATTATAAAAGTATTGTAGACTATAGTAAAATAAAGGTTTATAAAGTAATGAATCGATATTTAAGCCACAAGAATTTTCTTTTAAGCTTGGGGTGATTCTAAAAACAAACTTATTTTTAAAAAATAATAAAATGAATAATATAATACCAACAGGTAAATGGAATCACATAAACCTGTAACTTGAAAACTGAAAAGGTACAACAGATAAAACATCTTTTTCCTATTTACTAAAACAATTACCCCATAATATATTATATAATATGATATATTATTAAAAACAAAATGGTTGTGATTAATCTCACCTGGATATCTCTCCCTTGCTCTTGCTCTTGGCCAGACCCTCTTTGGCTTTCGAAATGAGTCCGGACATGTCGCCAACGAGGGCTCGGTTCGCGGGGTCCTGGGTGGGACTCATGGGCAGGTTGCTCAGCTTCTGGGTGAGGTCCTTGACCGTGTGGTCCCGCTTCAGCTGCAGCAGCAGCTGCTTGTCCTCGCTCTCCACATCTAGGATACACGAATACCACAAAGTTAAACCCATTCTTATTATAGGAACCCTCAAAAGTATGCAGTGGCAGATGCGCAATGCGATGTGGATGTCTTTCGGCGGCGCTTGCGAGTATGCAACACACAGGTGAGGAAAACGGGCGACTGAGAAGGGTTAAGTGAGGGTCAGGACCCACCTGAAGGATCCACGGGACGCGGCGGCAGCTCTGGGTTAGTAGTGGTTAGGGTGCGAGCTGGCTGCTGGAGGCTGCTGTAGATGGGGGCGTGCCACCAGCCGGGGGGCGGTGGTGGAGGTGGCGGCGGAGGAGGAGGCGGTGGCGGTGGCGCTGCCCCAGCGGGCTTTCCCACCGGACTCAGTGGCTCCGGCTCCGGCTGGACATCGCACTTGACCGGCGTGGAACTGAGAGGAGCGGGCGCGAAATCGAATCCCGAGGCATTCAGCGTCTTCTTCGGACTCAGAAGGACTTCCTGCGGGCTGATGGGCTGAATGGGCTGGTGGATCTGGTGCTTCGGCGACTGACTGTAGTAGTTGTTCAGCCGATTGGCTTCGTTCTCGTACTTCTTGTAGGCACTATCGGTCTGCTGGATATTCTTCATTATCCCACTGATCACAGTTGAGTTGCGCTCCCGGAACAGATTCTTCTTGGTGAGGAACTCGCTCTGGTTGTTATTGCTCGCCTTGTCGAAGCTGTTGTTTATGATCGAAATGCTGTGGCTGCCGCTCAGCAATTGCTTGCTGGGACTCATCAGCAGCAGGCTGTTGTTCGGCGTATCGTTGCAGCTGAGGTTGCTCAGATTGTTGTTGCTAATGCTGCCGATTCCGCTGATGTTGTTGCACGGCGGCACCTCCGGTTGCAACGACTGAGGCGGACTGTCGCCGGTTTGAATGGTGGCGGGTATGGCGGTTACTATTTGGCCTGTTTTTGGCATGGATGGTTTTTGTTTTGTTTTTTTGGTGGTGGTTAGCATGATCAGCGGGTGAACAGCGGGACAATAATACACACACAGTGATTAGCGATTTGGTGGGAGAGAGAATCACAAGTTAGTTAATCGCTCAAAAGCAGCTTGGGTAAATTGTTTGGGTTATTTTATGAAGAACTTACCAAGACCTTCCCGCTGCTCTAAGGCGGCAAAAATGCCGTTGGCTGCCGCCTCTTGTTGTTCTTTGAGGAAGCTTTTGTGCCTTTCAGCCCGCTCTCTTCTTCTTCGAAGTCCTGGGGTTACTCCAGCTCCATCACGAGCTGTAAAGGATTAGGAAAAATCCAATATAAATAAAAGAATATTTATCTAAACCCTTTCCAATCCACTTACGTTTCTTTTCGTTAAAGAGACCTCCGCTGAATTCTGTGGAGTTGGTGGATCCTGAACTATCCTCGTCTACTGTTGCTTGGGTGGGAGTCATTCGAAGGACTGTGGTGGGCAGGACTTTTGTGAGAGGGGCGGGGCTGTTATCTGTGCTGTGGCGCCGAGATTTGCGCCTTTCGGCAGTATTTGTTCCCGGGCGATAACGCTGCGTTTTCCTCATTGAATTCTGCGGCAAGCGCTGTCCATCCGACTCACCATCCTCAAATCTGCATTAAACAATATATAAATAAATCACATTAATTATTTATTGATAAAACTCACTTCAGCACAGCCTCGTAGAGTTGCAGTTGATCGAGCAGATCCAAATCAGTTCCCGGCTTGGACATATATCGCTGGATCACAGTTTCCATGCCCTGCTGCTCCAGAAGATCACTCTCATCGTAGAAACTATCCTGATCATTCAGTCCTGCAAGGGTTTTGTTGATCAGCGAAGTGGCATAGATCACCAGTTCGGCATCGGCATTGTCATAGTCCTTAAGCAGTCTGAAAAAGGAGAAACATTCAGTCGTATTTTTAAATAATTTTTTCTACTATCCCTAAAGTAGTACCTCATTATGTTCGACCAGGGCAGTGTTCCCTGGGAGGCGTCCACCGCGTGAATGGCACTGACCAGCACATAGCAGTTGGACTCGGCGTACTCCACGAAGACGAGCAACAACTTGAGGGCGGTCTTCACCACGGATCGGTAATTGGAGGCAATCAGCGAGTAGAGCCACTGCATCGTCGGCTCATGCTTCATCACGCCGTTCATTCCGTCCACATAGAGCATGACCTGCCGCCGCGTCCAATGACATAATTAGTTTAATTTAGTTAGTCGCAGTTCCCATGGGTAATTCTGGGATGGATTATTCCCCAACTCACCTGGCCGAGGGCTCGCAGAATGTAATTCTGATAGTTTTGATCCGCACAATTGCCCACGCGCACCAGACAATTGAGGCCGCCGAGGGCCACGAAGGCGTGCACCAGATCCTTATCCTCCTGGAACACCTGTTTCAGCGAGAAGAGTGCCCGCCGCAGGTCGCTGCCCTCCGCCGACAGCAGTTTCTCTGCAAAGTTCAAAGTTACTCGGTTATACGGGGCGCATGCGCAATGAGCATCTCAGCATCTGGGCAACTGAGCAACTGAGTGCAACTTACCAATTATGGCGTGTACGCGCACATTCAACTGCGTTCGCACCACCAGGGAGTTCTTGCGACTGCGGAAAGAAAATGAAAATGATTATTTTTTATTGTTTCTATGGCTGTTAAAGAACGTTAATGGACAGATTCGTTCCCATTCCCATAGAGCGTTAAGTAAAAATCACTTCGTTAACGTTCATCTCGAGTAGCTATGAAAATAGTAACTGATTCAAACAGTTACTAATTTGTAAAGTTATGAGCTTAGGGAGTCATAATTTGTGTTACCTCTCAGCCAGCCATGGAAAACTAAGAAAAATCTGACAATAACAGGGGGCAAAAATTATATTATACTTTCGTCGAAATAAAAAAACTTTACAGCACTTCGCTTAGAAATTCCATAACAAACGTTTAAAGATATACCACTAATAATAATATATTTTATAATATGAACATGATAGCAAGTAATTTTCATTTCCGATTTCTTGATCTCTGGCCTAAAAATATATTTTGTAAACCCCTTCTTTTAAATTGTTTTCGGAGTTATGAACTCAAGCTAATAAACGCCAAGCTGTGAACCATTTTTCGTCATGTGAAGTGCCAAAACAAAAAGATTAAGGCACAATGGGGAGCTGGCACTTTGGGCCAGGCCAACTCCTGGCCAAGACCAAAACGAGTTCGTTGACCAGTTAAGAACATTGATTACCCGCTGGTGCTCGCTCGGCTTCACCCCAGTCCAACTTGGACTCATAATAAAAGTAATAACAAACGACGCAGATAATTGAAAATGGAGTATGGGGCGGCAGGCAGTCCGACACCGGGCTCAAATGCTACACTCATATACACAAAGTACAACAACACAATCGACAACAAAGGTGAGTGTCTGAGCCGCGAATGTAAGAGACACACCTGTCTCTCCCTTTCTGCAGATTGACACGCAACGGGCGATGGTCAATGGGCAATGGGCAATGGGCAATGGGCACCTTCTGCGGAATTTTGATGCGAATTGAAGCGCATGATTTGCATGCGAGCTCGCGGTGCCATGACTAATGCGATAAGCATGATTAGTGGCCATCGGACTGGCTATTCTGGCTCCATGCTCAGAACACTTCAGAACCTTTAGGAAGACTTCGGCTTACTCCGCCATTGGCGCCACACCACTCGTAAATAGAGTGGGGACGAGTTGCGCTGCAAAGTGGCGGCAATTTGCGCAGACGCGGCGACATTTACGTTATAATTTCAAAGACTGCAGAGATAGGGCTTAGATCGCCGCTCCGAACCATAACCATAATGACTGATGATCGTGGATGCGTGGCATCGTGGTGGAAGTGAAAGTCAGAAATAGACCAGGAATCCATCCATTCTGGTTAGCGAGTCCCGGGTTAAGCAACTCCAGAGAACGTTGACTTTGAACCTGGCAAGTGGCCCCAGTACGGTTACGGCCATGTTTTCTAGCCAACATCTTCTTTAGAGGCTGCTGCTGCTGCTGCTCCTCTTACTTTGACACTTGTGCCCCGTCGCGTACATCATTTTTCTTTGTGTGCCCCAAGTTTTGTGGAGCTGCTTTAGCGCCTGCCTTTGCCATGACATCACGTTCCCCGGACTGGCCGCGAAAAACAAAGAAAAACTATGAAGTTGAGCAGGGAGAACTATGGGGAAACGACTAAGAAGTACCTATAAAATTAAAGGGTCTCTAGAAAAATCTACCCATATAAAAGAATTTTTACAGAAGAAATGTTCTTGCTTTAATAAAAATTTATTTGCTGTTAAAATTATACCAACTTTAAAGGCTTTTATTCTGCCTTAAAATATATTTGATTCCAGATTTAAAAACCATTTTTTTTTAAGAAACACTTATATCTAAAAAACGTATACACCTTTAACTAGTAAAATATTTTCAAAGAAAAAAATATCTATTTTATTTATTAGTTGTACTCTCAGTTCTTCTCAGATTTTATTCACATATTCTTTACGTCCCCAGCAGTCAATTTCTTTTAAGGGGTACTTAAATGTACTTGTGCATAAGTAACATGCATGCCAGTTATGAGAAAGGACCACAAAAAATGTAAATATAACAACTGCAGAGCTGCGACAACGACTCAAAAGTGACGTGGCGAGCGTTTTTGTTTTGTCTCTGGGCTTCTTTTTTGTGATTTCTGCTGCGGCTGTGCGCGGATTAAATGCAAATTAACTGCAGGCTGCGGCGGCAACAAGTTGCACGTAGCAATGTCGTGGCATGCAAATGTCTTTCCTGCGATCCGGTGAGTGCCGGGCAGAGCGACAAAGCGACAGAATGCCAAAGTGGCGGAGTGGCAGGCGGCTAAGCAGGTAACTGCCAGCCAACTCGGTTTCCTGTGCCACAGATAGCGACAGTTTTTTATGGCCCGGCCAAATAACTTTATTAGCGAGCGGAGATGGCGACGGCAGCGATGCCAGCGGACCGCCATGGCGTATGTGTAATATGCTGCATTTCGGTGAAAGGCTGACTAGGCTGACAGAGAGCCACCCACGATCGACTGCCCCAATAACCCAGAGGGGTTCGACTGGTTCCGAGTTTCCTGATCGCGATTGCCAGCCATTGATTACAAGGAGTGGCCAAATCAGGCTTTAAAATTAATCCAAGATCGTTACATTCCTGAGCACTAATCTCTGATGGAGACTTAAGATATGTTTTATTTATTATACCGCATTAATATAACGAGTAATTTAATGTAAACAACAATCACCCAAGTTATTTATGCATATCAAATGAAGTATGCCCACGGCAATTTATATACCAATAAATTAATAAAATTATATAGGCTCCTTCTGACAATTTCTTTAAAAAAACATTTGGTTTATCCTATGTTAACTTTTTTTTTAGCTAAAAGGCGGAATAAGGTTATATCCAGTGGCTAGAAACTAGCCAGCGCGACAGCATTGTTCCCGAAATTGTTGAAAAATGGGTTCAAGGTAAGCCGTAGCAGCAGCCCGAGTTGCAAAAGTGAAATCCCGTGACAAATTTTCGTGAGTGGGTGAAGTGCACCAGGTGTTTGTCCATGTGGGCAGACCATTCTTTTCTGTCCAACCTCATTAGCCGTCGCCTTGGGTCAGGTGATGGTGTTGTTGTGGTGGTGGTGATGGTGGTGGTGTCTTTCCCCCAATATCGTTATCTTAGCCCCACTCACCTGAGGTTCAGTCCCTCGATTTCCTCGGTCTGCTCGGCCAGCGATGACTCCAGATCCAAATAGGCTCCGTAGTCGCCATCCTTGTACACCTGAATAGCTGCATCATCGATCTGCAAAAAGGGGGAAAAGACGGGGCTTAGTTTCGCCGGCAATTATAATTAAAGTCTGGCTAAAAGTAAATGGCAGCGATCTCGCCACTACCGCACTACGCAGTAAAAGTTGTTTATGGTCTCGGCTCAAGAAAAAGAGAAAGAAGCTGATGAAGATGGCCAGATGGAGTTTGAGTTTGGGCCAGAGTTGCAGTTGGAGAGGTTCATGTGCTGCAGCACCGTAGAACGTTTCGAGACACTCAAAGAAATTGTAGTACAATTTGTTTAAAGATATGCCACAAAAATGATGGCGAATAAATTATTCTACTGCTTGTACCTAATTGAGTAATTGAGTAGTTTTCATATCTGAAAATTATTAGAGAGAAATTTACAACTAATTGTTGCAAATTATCATCATGCACTCGTTCGGACTTCATTTTCGAAATGAAATAATTACTGCACCATTTAATTTAATTAAACTTATTAAAGCAACTAAATTCCGAAAATAAAGATTACATTTGGGTTGGTATTTCCTCCATTTAATTGTAAAATTTGACTTAAATTATATTATTTTCAGTGCACTGTGACGGACGCTGCATTGAAAGTCCGCAGACGATTTCGTTTAGGCGCACATTGAGGCCGCCAGTTGATTGGTGGCCAAGACCACGATGACGCGTCGTCGCCGGCTGGTCACCTACTTTTCTCAGCTTTCGGTTTTCAGACTTCGGTTTTCCGTTTTCCAGCCGCTGATTGATCAAGCTCCTGCTGCGTGTGCACCAATGCGCTGATTGACGGCGGTCGCAACCGTTGTTTTATTGGCGTATTGAAAGTAATTATTTCTGCATTTACAGAACGATTACCGGACAACTTGGAATTATTTGTGTCGACGACGCTGGCTTAATGTGCGAAAAAAGAATAAGCAAAAGTTCGAAAAGAAAAGGAAAAATATACTGTCTGTCATCCGGGTGGAAGATTACACATACGCCCCTTTGTACACGCCCCGGTATTAGCAGAAAAATTTAGTTTAAGTTAGAGGTTGGGTTCGGCTGAAGCCAGACAAAAGGCTTTAGACACACCCTCAGCAAAACTCTTCGCATGTCCTGAGGGTTTTCCTTTAAAGAAGCAGAATATTTGCTAAATTAAAGTATTGACCAGGCATTGGTCAATGACTTTTCCCAGAACTATTAAGTAACTATTCTAAAAACACTTCACCGACATCACCTTCCTCTAGTGATTAATTTATTACTGCATTTCACCTCACAAAACTGAGCAATGACGACAAAACCAATTGAAGATTTCTCGGGTAAATGACTCGCCGACACTCAACTAAATAAAAAATATTTTCCCAAGTACCACGCTGTCTAGCGAGTCACGTTTTCTTATCAAAAAGAGAGCTCTCGACTTGGCGAGCAAATTTCGCCTTGGGTCAAACTTCCGCATGTTGATTCAGCATTTAGGCATAGGCAAACTTTCTAGACCAAGTTGGTCCGTCATTGTTTACCCAAACTGGAAATTCACATTCAAATTATGTGTCAAATGCGTGCTTAGTCGGTATTTATAAACGCCTCTTTATATAAGCCAACGGGCAATTAAAATCAAAGCAAACATTGGCCAAAAACTAAATCCATTCCGGCTCGCTTTTATGATTTATTTATATTTCGCCTCGTCTTTTGCACGCATATTCCTTCATTCATTCACAGGTCTATGCAAATTTAATATCGGTGGCTTTTTGATTTTTTTCTTTGAGTGAAGCATGACAAGATTTTTAATCAAACTGATATCTGCCAAACACATAAATGTGGCTATTGACACAGTTAAGGCGGCGAGCATAAAATTCGAAGAGGAGAAAATGCAAAAAAGAGACAACAACACCGGGCCAAAAATCCAAAATGGTTAGGAAAAGAAATAAATATTTTCAAATTATTGACAGCGGTTAAAGTGTAGCCGAAATAAATTATTGATGGAAATGACAAATTCCTAATTCATTTTCATTAATTTATCAAACTTTTTACAGCCATAAAGGGGAGTCAAATTAAAGTGGAATTTTAATTGGATTTGCTGAGTTAAATATATAAAACGTGTATATAGTAATGATGGTGATTAATTATCAGCATGACATATTTTTTATTACCCGTATATTTTTTAAAGTTAATAAAAATAACTATTTAAACACTTGATTATTCAGCTGATAGTTGGTCATTGCTAACAATCGAAAAATAACATAACAAAGACCCATATTTATGGGCATTTGCCTGACCTTGTTTTTGTGTGCTGATTCAGGTGACTAACACTTTTGCTTTCACATCAATCAAAGTTGATTGACCCTCAGCTGACCGCAAAATCTGATGGACGGCTCTGCTAATTGAACTTAAAAACTTCAAAGAAGAGAGGACGTCTTGTGCGAATGATTTTTGCAAATAGCCAGAGATGCGTAAGTGTCAACGTGGCTCAAATATTTGATCAACGTGTGCGAATTGTACGATGGACAATGGAAAATTTTCTGGCTTATCCGAGCGTATAAACTGGCCCAAACTAATTTGATTGGCTTTGAATTTGGGAATTGCCCGGTCGTGTGAATGACACATGTAAGTGACGCAATGCCCTCCAAACAACTTTTACTACAATTAATTAAATTAGTTTTTTGTTACAATTATTTGCTGAACAGCAAGAGCGTATCAATTTGATTGCTGGTCGCTTTTTTGTAGGTTTTTTATCTGCCTTTGTTTGGTTTGTATTGATTGAAAGTTCTCCCTGTATGCTTATCTAATTCCACGATATTTTTTTTTTGCTAAAGTGCCTAAGCAAAAGCAAAAGCTACAAAAATAATTGGCAAAAAGAATAACATTCAAATGGAAATCAAAATAAAGTTAAGTAAGGTTTTGATTCTGGTTTTGTTTGTTCGAATTATTTATGCTCTACATTTAAGATAAAGAAAATCAAGTATTTATATATAAATATTTAAAAATAAAATATAATGTAAATAATAAATGTTAAAACTAAAATATGTGTATAACGTGTAGATATATATAATAAATATGTTTAAGGGGATAGCCAATGGTATTTCAATTACAAAATACACTTCGTTTCAAACCTCATTTTATAAACAGTAATAAAAGTTACTTTATTCCCTGACTAATATACCCTTTGTACCCATAAAAACCCATCGGGGCTCACATCACTTTATTGGCCGACAACGAGTATGATTATTTATATTTTTAACTATGTCCGTTTTCAATCTGTTTGGCTCGCTGGCCTGATGTCTGATGTCATCGAAGACGCCGACGAGCTCGGCATTGGAGATTAGTGATCGAGGCGGCGAAAATTTATGAATCTATTGTAATGCGCTAAATTTAACAAGTTGCAGGGGAGCAGCAGCGAGCAACGAGGTTCTGCTCTCTGACTAATTGGACAAATGGCATTTACAGCTGCCACTGGCTCGCCAGTAGGCTCCCCAGTTCCCTGGTCCTCCGACCATACAGATCTGCAACTGGCTGCCACATAAATCTGGCCGCGACGACAACATCCTGGTCTGGGGAGGCCGGCAGAACTTCCTTTTGCGATCTGCTCATTAGAATTTATTGCCGCCGCTTGTCAAGATTTACGTATCCTTGCGGCTCCACCGACTACCAGCTACCAACCACTGAACCACTGGACTGGATGACAGATGACAGCCACGGAATGGGGCTGGCTGTTCGATGCTCCTTAGTGGCTTTTTTTGCAAATTAGTCAAAGTCAGGCCCAAACAATGGCAGGCTTAGATAATTGCTGGCTAGCTGGCTGGCCCTCGCTTTCACAATGCACTCCGAGAAGTTGCAGTTCTGCGCTCCAACTTCCTATTAGTTGCCACAGATTGTGCGATAGCAATAAGTTAGCCCAGCCCCAGGGCTCCAGCTCCAGCTCCATCTCCAGTTCCAGCTCCATCTCTTCCCCCAGTGGATCGCGTTGGGCTGGGATCCCTTACCGAACCGAACCAAGCCAAGCCCTCCTAAGATCCAGGGCCTCCGGTTCCGAGCCGCATCTGCCATTGTCTTCTGGCTGGAATCTCCTCCTGGAGGAGAAGGCGGGTTCAATGCCTCGCAATGCATCATTTGTTCGAACTTCGAATCGCTTGCCACAATATAAAAATATTGTAATGGTGGCGGCCAAGAACATGCTAAACACTTTAGCTCGGTTTCCCGGAAAACTTTTCCCTTTATTATTGACCAATTACCATTTTTGCAAATTTCTCGAAAACTTTCCATCCATTTGTTTTAGTTGTGGCTTTTCCAATTCAACGCTCACTCAGCTGCCCGCAAATAAAACTTATCCGTTTCAATTGACTTATTCCTGCCCTTTGCTTTGCCCCTTTTTCAACCATTGTTGGGTTTTCAGTTTTGTGGCAAAAGTTTAATCTCTGGCTTTCATGCGAAATTTTCTCAAATAAATCAATTGTGGATTTTGTTTACTTTTTAGTGTTTTTTGCCCGGGGCAATAATGGCTCATTCTTGCCTGTGCTGAACGAGTTATAATTCTTTCATTCGTTTATTTAATAGGAAATGTGGAAGCGGCGTAGAGCGATAAATGCGTTTAAACACGCTATGCAAATGATTGTGTTTAGCCGCAAAAACCTCACTGAATGCTCACTGTGCGAAATTTAAATTTGAATTTCTGCCTCCCTGAGGTGGTAGATCAAATTTTTAGAGTTCGTCTACTTTTCTAGGCGACTGTTGGCCGTTTTAACTAATCAAGAGTTGTATCAGTAGTTTGACGATTGCAAAAAGTTGTCGTCATGGCATAAAAATAAATATTTAATTTGGCAAACCTTCAGAAACTATAAAGAATAAAAATCTTGATCGTGATAATGCTGCTATCCAGCGATTAATGTATACAGAAGTAGCTCGTAAATGCGCAGTATAAGAGTTAATGCCTTTTCATATTTGTGTGCGTATGGCTTGCTTAATTTCGAGCAACAAAAGATTTTCGGTCGAAAGATTTAGCCAGTGATAAGCTGGCAAAAGATAAGTAAAGCCAGTTAAGACCGA